CATTAGATTTTGCTCAAACCAATATTACTTGGATTATTTATTAAGAAGAATAAACTGTTTAGTAGTTTAGCCAAAAAACCTATGATTTGTTTATAAGATAAAAAAATTAAAGAAAAATTATTTTAAGTCTCGTCTACAATCATTTATATTTATTAAAGTAACAAGCGGTTTCTACTGATTTATGTTTAACAGCGCTTTCATTTTTTAAATAAAAGTGCCAATTTACCGGGCGAGTGTCAGTCTGTAAGTACCCTCAGTGTCGGGTCCACGACACCAACTAACCGACACTTTAGTTAATCGCTGCTATTACCGTTAACCAACGTTTAGCATTTGTTCTCAACTACCGAGTCCCGACTGATAGGTCTACATAATTATGCAACTATAAGCCTTAGTTGGTTAGAGATTTTTTGTTGACTTTTCTGTTTATTAAAATCGTAAAATATAATTGAATTCCAACCATAACAATCATAATAAATTTATTGCTAAGCGAAAATGAAAAGAAAATAATTAAAAAAAATGTTTTTAGTAAAAGCAGAAACTATGTAAAGTTTTCCTAATTACAATAACAAGTGTATATAGTTACTACAAGTTTTAAATTTTGAATTATCTCCACTTGATTTTAATGAGTATTAGATTATTTTCATGTAAAATTTTTTAAAAGTTCTCGAATTAATATTATAACTTATAAAGTTCTTTCAAGTCGAGGTTTCATTTTATCATTCTGACTAACATTTCAACATTTTTAAACTTGACTGAACGCAATTGGCATTCCTTAAATTTAACGCGGGCTTTCCAAATATTTTCCCGTACATTTCCCGTAAATCAAAGTTATTACGCACGCAGAGGATATTAGGCATAAGCTTTAAGCATATCTGAGCCTGATTATAAAACACTATACCTTATAAATCGCTTTTGATTCGTCGTAAGCAAAAATACACGACTCGCCACTGAAACTCCGATTAACACGTTATTATAAACAGCTGCCGTTCGGCGCGCGCGGGCCGTAGTCGGGGCCTGACTGACGTTCCAACGAGAGGGAAACTTCCCCCGGGGCCTCCGTCCCTGTTCGACGTGGATTCGAACATATTTCCGTTTCGCGCCGACTTCCCCGGCCCTATTCAATGTGTTCATTGACGCTGCTACAGGATGTTTTCTTTCAGACTCGTCGCACCGTAATATGTTTCCGATAAGGGGCGCACGCTTTATGGTTAGGTGGGTCTGGTGTCATAGTATCGGATCGATCTAACTCTATTTTATAAATCACTAGTTGGCTTTTGTAAAAAATACTTCGTAATCAATTTTCACAAGGTTCAAAAGGATTTTTAGGAAAAAATATCATAGTAATAATTGATTTATGAAAATTAATTTTACATTTATATGCGTAGCAGCCTCGCTCTCCATTTTCATCAATAGGAAGGTGCAGGTCGACGACGCACATTGCGTACAAAACGCAATGTCGTAGCGAGGGTTGGCACCTCGCTTCAGCAACTTCAAGAGTCCTTCACTTGTCACTGACAGCCCTGAACAACACCCTCTCCAGACCCTCTGCCATAGCCTATCAGACGCACTGTTTTCATAATTTTAAAATCTGCAGATTTCAATGACTGCTTTATCAACAAGTTTTAGACAGTAAAGAGACAAGGGCTTTTTAAAACACACTAATGATCAAGGAATACTAATGACAGGACTCCAAAATTATTCAAATTATTACGTAATATTTCTTTTCATTAAAATACAATGTTGATACTTTTGTAAAAACTGAGCAAATAGCGACAAATTTATTTTAAAATCTCCCACTTATAATCACCTGTGTTAATAATACTTGGCCCGAGACTGTGCATTAACTAATATGTAACTAATAAAATAAATAACACATCAATGTACAGGTTGTGTTATAGTACGCGTAGCTACGTCGTAGAGGCTCTACAAGCTCGTAGCGCCGCAATACGTTTGACGTTACAACCGTTGACGGCAATTCACGGCTTCTCGCTTTAATTAAACGGCTTGAATGTGTAATCGCTACTTGATTTGCGTTATTACGAAATTAATTGAGACTAAGAGTACATTAATGTCTAAAAACCCAACGTAATCGGTCTCTATATATAAATATATCTAGACATACCACTGCAAGATTCTGGAAGAAGTTATCCTTCGAATTATATCTGTTTGTATAATTGGAAACATATAAATCGGTTAGAATTTAAGAAGGCTATAAAATATTCATAAAAAAACGTAATAGTAAGCTCAAGGCCTACAGGGCACAGAATAAACTTAAAATCAGTGCTTCTATAGATTAAACTAAAATATGTATGAGAAAAAAGCGATATTAGTAGATGACACCAATATGTAATTAACTTTAGTCTTTATATGTGTTAAGTTAAAATAATAAATATGAAATAAATTATATAAAATGTCTCTCGCCTCGTTCTTCTCCGGCGCTGGAATGGACTGCCTATTATTATTCCTTATAATTTGTTAGAAAAGTTTATTTCTGTATTCCTAGCGTAAAAAGTAATATTCTAAGACTGTGCCATCATATCGCTCGGCATCAAACTCAACGGAGAACGGATCTCTTCCTAATTCCAACAAATTGAAATTGATTCACAAAACGTTCGCAAGCGTTTCGCTATAACTTCAAATTATTTGAACATTTTGCTGCACAAATATTTACAAGTCTAATTGCGGTATATTTCAATTTTGTTGTATATATCAAAGGCCACTGAGCGTTTTTAACAATATTTCACTGCGTAGATGTGTTGGGCGTGATATCCTTTGGTACGTTTGGGTATAACTGCTCCCTCAGAATGGACAAAACCAATAATGGAATTTAATTCTTGAACAGCACTTCGCAGGCGTATTTGAAACTAAATGGACGCACGAAAATATAATTTGTGTTGTGAACTTTATATTGTTTGAAAAATTAATGTCAAAAACTGATATAGCAATTGACGCTTATGTATAATTCTCAATACAGAAGGAATACCTTAATTTCTTCTGTATATAATGTATATAAATAATAAATAAATTATTGATAATAATTATAAGTAAGGTACTTTACATATATTTCTCTCTGTAAGGACTTTATGATTTTGGTTTTAGGTTAAATTTAATTGTTGAACCTTTCAGAATACGACACAAGTACTATTCAAGAAAAAAGTACCACTTCCTTAAATCCCGGCAATGCATTCGCAAGCCTTCTTCAATTGTATCTATGAGCTGCTGCATTGCTTGACATTACGTTAGCCCGTATACATATAAGAATATGTATACGGGCTAACGTAATGTCAAGCAATCAGGTTTGGAAACTTCATACACCAGCGATACATATAAAAAAAGTTACAGTAAAAAAGTAATTTTGAAGAGTTCAAAGGATTCATGTTTAAATTAAATCCATGAATAAAAATGAATCTCACTTTACTGTGTTAATTTTCCCCTTTATTAAATGCATATGCAATTAAGTAAGCGGCTCCATTTCATTACGCTTATACGGAGTTAAAAGAAAGAAAATCCTGCGACAATATTATCCTCCTGCATTGTTACAGCAACATCTGTATTACAAAGGATACCTTATTAAGTCGCCGTTAAAAAATTTAGCTTTCATACAACATGGGTATATGCTGGAGGCGGTTAAGGCTTCAAAAGATCTGGCTTCACATAATTTTAAACCGATTTACATCACTAAGAATGCTGCTTGTTATGCCAAGGGTCTTGGAGACTAGATCGCGCACAAAGAAACGTCAGCTCTCACATAAATTGCATCGTAAAAATCTGTCAGATATCGCATTTAAAATAACTTTACAATACGTACTATCTAGCAAGGTATTTCTGGAAAACAATTGGTTTTTCCGTAATCTATCTGAGTTTCGGAGCTTGATAAACGACACGCAGGTAACTAATGCTCCTCATTTATTTTCTTTTCGACGTGTTTCTGCGTTTCACTAATCCGCTGTTATTTATGTGAAATGCCTTAGATTTATGTCTTTATGTCTAGTCACGCATAGGATTCCGTCATTGTTATAATATTATACCGAGCAAGTACTACGCGGTAGTTACGCCTAATAACATTAAACTACGTTGTTTGCTACGTACCTGCTACGCTTGTTATATAGCCAACCTTCTCATTAATATCGTGTTCCACACAGATATTTGTGAATTATTAACAAATTACTATTATTTTTTGAAGTTATACTTACTTATTATACTTACTTATAATATTTACTTTTAGCGCGTTAGGGAAAAATGATGATAGTAAATTTTTACGATGCGCGCGCACACCGTCACAAAAAACCGACATACGCACTGAAGTCAACATTTTAAAATAAAAACCTCAATTTCTTTAATTATGTAGAAATTTTTTTTTTGTGATATTTAAATAAACTTTATTTAACTGGATAATGCGTTATAATAAAACTTCCAATGTATTAAATACCTTCTATTGTTAGTGTTGTTTTTTCTACAAACGAGAATAAGGCTAAAGATAAAAAAATTAAAAACATTTTTATCCTGTTACGCCAAACAAGTATAACTTCTAACGCGTGTACACTCAGTACACACACATGTTTTGTTTTTATTTATTCGAAATATGTCTTTAAATATTATATATATTTGATAGATTGTCGTCTGATAAAATCAAACAAAAAGTAGTGGCAACAAAACAACTCTAATGAAGGATAGTGTGTTGTCATTGTTACAATAGAGATATTGTTTAGGATAAAAGCTAATTGTAATAGCAGGTAGCAGACAAGGCGAGCGCAAGTAGAGCAGCCGCAAACAAAGCGGCTAACTATAGTTGTCGGCAGTCGCAAGCGGCGGGCTGCGCTTTTCTTACTGGCCTACTTCATACGAGCTAGGGGCGCTCCCGCCTCACTAAATATAATATCGATACCGCAAAATCTTTCACATTGTCTGAACAACGTTAAGGTGTACCAATGGCGTAAAATTAATTTTCAGTTAAGTTAAAAGTTTGTCTACAAAGTATTTAATACCGCGTGGCGAGACATTCAAGCAAACACAGCCGCAATGCGCCCATCACTATTAGCCAACTCATCGCCTCGTCCCAGAAAGCAGCTTTGTGATTCGTCTTTACAATACTTTTCCATTGTCATTTGCAGTTTTTCTGTAAATAGGTCGCTCGTTTAGACCTCACGCGTCCCACTGACACTGCTCTTCCAGACGAATTCGACGTATTGATAGAAAATAAAAACTATTTTATTCGATTTCTTTCTAACGCGTTGAGCGGTTTCTGTCCAAATGTCGCCAACGAGAACTGCTACACAATATAAAAGGTAATATGAATAGCATTATTTATTATACTTACATCTCTTTGTTCTGTATATAAAACATTTTTGAATTTGAAACGCGACCGCAAAGCATTGTGCTAGTATACATTGAGGCGCTATTTAAAGATTTAAGTTGGCGCCTGGTAGATAGTACCGGTGACCCCAGAGCTGCTGGTGCTTTTCTCGCTCAACGAATTAGTATCGCAAAACAGCGAGAACATGCTGCCAGCGTTAAAGGTACACAGCCACAGGGACCAAAATTTTAAATTTTCTTTTATTTATTTTCATTATTATGATTACTAATAAGCAATGTATACATTGAATTAATAATATTAAAAAAAATAATGCGATATCAATTCATTATTTACACTACACTGGTCGATTCCAAATATTAACCACATACCGCATAATGCAAATGAGAACAACTTTCCAAAGTATGTGCAAAGGGAACCGACTCCGGGTAGCGTTAATGAAAAAACTTGCCGGTTAATTTAGCGATTTACTGAAACTCGTTTGGACTCAGTCACGCTTCCTCATCCTTTTCTACGCACTAATTACATCACCTACTTAGTTAAGTAAGCTTAATAGAGCTAGATAATAATCGTATGACATACGATTATTATCACGTTATTGACTTTAATTATTTTTTTTTATATAGAACAGGGGGCAAACGGCCAGGAGGCTCACCTGATGGTAAGTGATACCGCCGCCCATGGACACTCAATGCCATAGGGCTCGCGAGTGCGTTGCCGGCCTTTTAAGAATTGGTACGCTCCTTTATTGAAGGACCCTAAGTCGAATTGGTTCGGAAATACTTCAGTGGGCAGCTGTTTCCACAAAGTTTTGGTGCGCGGCAAAAACTGCCTTGAAAAACGCTCAGTTGATATGAATACCTGCTGCGTTTAGATACAAATTAAAACCTTTCTTATTATTGTCCCCGTCTTTATTTATTTGCTCTTTTATTAACTCTGTTTTAATTAACGTAATTGCGACTGTATATATTGTAAAGGATTTGACCGATATTTTTTTCAGTTTTTAATGATTGTTAGGATATTTCTATTCCTATATCTTGGGTTATTTTCATGTTGATTTAGGATGTATGTTTTTTCTCAATAACACATAAATCAACTTTATAACATTAAATATATTTCGTGTATTTATTATTTTATTATTAACAAAAAAGTTTAACTTGAATATTATGTTTTCTGCATTTCGTATAAAAAATATCTTCGTTTAGTTATTCTATACTCAATGAAGTAAAATTGTGTTGTTTATTAAAATTGTGAATAGCAAGAATAAAAAATAACAATAAATAAATCAGTGGCGCTATAACTGTTTCATGATCATTTGTTAATCTAATAGACAAGTAGGTGATCAGCCTCCTGTGCCCGACATCGACTTTTTTGGTTTAGACCCAAGCCGGTTTCCTCACGCTGTTTTCCTTCACCGTTTGAGAAACAAACACAGCCGGGGATCGAACCTCAACCTCACGGATGAGAGTCGCATGCTGAAACCACTAGGCCAACACTTCTCTCAAAATGATGATGAGATGTTTAAGATACTGAATATAAGGTATTAATATTCAGAGGTTAACCTATGCATTACTAGCGTCAGTTATTGCCTCCACGTATAATCGGCACGTTTGAGCTCAAACACTAAGCCCGATTGGTATTTAGGTATCTGAAGTAGGTCGGAGCCCAGATACGGCGAGGTCTCTAAAGACCACAATTTGGTCACAATCAGGCCATGGCAACTCTCTTCAAAACGTTCAAAGATCGTCTGACTAAATAACGTGAGCAAATATTGCTTTTACGCTCGTATTTTCTCCTCAAGTTCTAGTTTAGTTTTACAGTCAAAATCTGTTATAACGACATCGAAGGGACTACTCATATTTGGTCGTAAAAACCGATTGTCGTAACAGCCGATGACGTTGTTATTAAGTACCTAATACAATAGAATTCAGCCGGGACCTTTGTTTTTGGTCACTATAACCGGTATGTTTTTACTGCATATGAAATATTAACGCATAGAAGCATATCCCCAATACAAGAGCGGTGTAACCCATACGTTAGCAACTTACCAAATTATTTTGTAATAGTTCTGAATGATCTCCCAATACTTTTCTTATTAACTCAAAGTTCCGTCAAACACAATTCGTGTTCAACTAAAAATTTTTTTTTTTAGAACAGGGGACAAACGGGTAGGAGGCTAACCTGATGTTAAGTGATACCGCCGCCCATTGACACTCTCACTGCGCTCGCGAGTGCGTTGCCGGCCTTTCAAGAAAAAAAATTAAAAATACTTTAAAAGGTACGGTTTTTTCCTATAAAGAAGTTTTCTTAGTTAACTGTTTTTTTTTATAGAACAGGGGCAAACGGGCAGGAGGCTCACCTGATGTTAACTAACCCATGGACACTCTCAATGCCAAAGGGGTCGCGAGTACGTTGCCGGCCTTTTAAGAATTGGTACGCTCTTTGTTTTCCTCCAACATATCTCTAACATATAAGACACGATAATGAGATAATTCATTTCTGAATTTAATTTTTATATGTTTTGCAATTCAGTTCTAATCTTCCTTGTTTATTATTATTATTTGATACACTCCACAGGCCACATTATGGTATCAGATAATACGACACATGTAATTCGAACACAACAGATTCCCAATATGTATACATTAATAGCGAACAGGTTAGCGAATAAAACAAGCTGTTAGTAGCGTTTCATACATTTATTAGACATTACACCCAATATTTACATTATTTTGTACGAGTAATTGAGTCGGTATGAGTTTTTAAATTTTTATGAGCACAGTGCGTGAAAATAACATTTATTTATCATAAATTAATCTAGAATATAGATTTAATTTCAAAGTAATTGAAAAATTATTACAAATGTGTCTCAATCCGAAATTAACAAACCCCATAACGACTCATAGTAGATACAAAAAATTTAACCAACTTCAAAATGCATATTTAGACTTTAAAATTCAAACTGAATCATAATAAGTAGTTCATTAAATAAGATTATCATAGATCCAATTCGAAGCCAGTAATTAGAAACATCAATCAGGCATTAAATTATATCCGAGTTGTACCATTATCCAAGATTCTTAGTAATTCGTTCAAAAACAAATCGCCTCTGACATGCAATTATTGCATCTATACCGATCGGCAATATAAAAATAATGTTTAAATTAAAAATGCGTAGTAAAATCATTGAAATAAATTTTGTATCCAATTTGAAGTTGGTTCTTTTCCATACGAGCGCTTCATGCGAAGCCTTCGTCTGTGTGAACCACAACCAAGCGTTTTTGTGAAAACCGTTAGTAAACCGCAAGAATACCGCACCCACATGCCACTCACCCGCCATTGGACTGCTGGCTCTCTCCGCTGGTGTACTGCTCCTGTCACCAGGAGTGCTGCTCCTCTCCGACTGGAAGCTGTTTCTTTCGCCTGGTGTGCTACTCCTTTCCATCTGAACACTGATTCGTTCCGCCTGGGAGGTCCTCTCCACCTGGGTGATGTTTCCTGGTGTAGCAAGGGCTCGCAAGTGGTCCCAATGACCCCTTAGTTCAGCGACCAATGGGCGTAAATCGGGCGCCAACGTATGACCAGCCGCTCCGCACTCGCGTTCAAGGTTATTGCAATTTTCCAACACTTCACGCATCTCCGCCTCTTGTTCGGATATCGATAACTGAAAATTAGAAGTTCGCACTTGAAAAATATTTTTTTAGTCGGAGTTCACGTTGAAATGTATTAAAATCGTATATATTATTATTTTTCATTGTACAAACATTAAGTAACAAGTAACGTAAAACGTCTAAACCCATTCAATCATCTATTTAATCATTAAATTTTTTATACTTATTTATATAGAATAGAGAAAAGTAAAGACACAATAATACATATTTTTGTACTTAACTTAAAGGTTTCTACAGAATAAAACATTTGAATATCACAAAAAGCATAAACAACAGCGTCTCCATAATTATAAAAAAAAAACATATGTAGATAATTGTTCAGCTATATAAGACGATAATAAGACGCCCGCTACACGAAATTACTATTAATATTACCGTAAGGTCTGTCGTGTGTGGTCTCGCCCTTGCAGCTCGTGCCCAGGCGAGGGCGGAGTGAAGGCGCGCGTCGAGTTTGTCGAGCGCCGCTAACCGCCCGCGCACGTACTCGCCGTGTGATGACAGCTTACTTTGTGCCTTAGTATAGACATATTTAAAGTATTTACTTCCAAAGACTCTAGATATATCCAGACATTCTTGATAAACATATTTTAAGTTATTTTCTTAGTAAAAAAACTATTCCATCGAATTTATATTCTGAAGAATTTATATCCCAGTTTATGAGCTACTTCGGTGCTGATATATCAGGCACTTTATTGCGTGAATATTATAATTTAAATATGTCTGGAAAGTTAGAGTGGTTCGTAGCTCGTAAACGCAGAGCGCGCGGCCTGACCGATGCGATAAGAGTAACACTTCGCGCAATCAACTTCACTTAAATAAAATTTATTTAACGGACAAACGCGTTGCGGCAAAGCACTCGAGTAATATTAAATATGCAAAAACACGTTTATATAATAAGAATATTTATATGTATTAATCGCGTAGATTGAACCTTCATATTAATTAATTAAACTTGCACAATTAAAAGTACAGTCAAAACCGTTTATGACGACATCTATTAGAACAACATACCGGTAATATTGACCAAAATCTATTAGGTACTTAATACCAACGTCATCGGTTTTTACGACCAAATATTAATAGTCCCTTCGATGTCGTTATAAGAGATTTTGACTGTATATGTAACCCTTATTCATAAATCTCTCCTGTATTTTACAAATAAGGTCAAAAATTAATTAATGTCGGAGATGATTTAATAAATAAGTGAACAAAATGTAATTTTATATTTGAACTAAGACGCATTATAGACTATTAGGTTATAATACGTCTCAAATGACAATCGACATGTCAGACAAAAGTCTTTTCAGGCCTAGGTCATTAAGGGTTGTAGCGCCACAGAATTATTATTAGTAGCCAACTAGCAAGGTAATGAGATTTTCGTCGCGAGCAGTGGTTTAATAGGTCACAATTCAACCTTACTAGATAATGCCGATTATGCGGGAATGTGTGTGAATATCATATGCCAAGCTTTCAAAGAGAATGCAGCAAAATTTTGGTGAGTATTACAGAGCAGCATCTAACTTTTAAATAGCAACGAACCAAATAAACATATACATATAGCTTCCACAATTTACCTCTCAGACATACTCAGACTTTAGACAGATGTATATAAACATTGTGTTTTATTTATATATTATAACTGTTACTTCTAATTATTACTGTTTAAAAAAATATCACTTACATTAATTTTAATTGTATAACTTAGGGAAATTCAGATCTTAATGGAAAATATATATAACACAGTCTTTTGTTTTCAGTGCTGCCATCCGTTCGGGTTTCCCCGGATTTGTCCTAGTTTAAAAAAGAGGCTTCCCTGGTAGCCAAATTAACGTAAGACTGACGTCAGATCTTGGCTACTAGGGTTAAAATTAAAGTTTTCTTCTAACAAGTACGGAGTAAAATATATTTTAATCAAGATGTTAGTGAATGAAAAAAGTATTGAAATGTCCGGGGTGAAAGCTCCAAAATCCAGGGAACTTACGCTTCCCGTCCTGGGAAGCAGGTTTTATAGATGGCAGCCCCAGTTTTCACTAAAGTACCGATATTTTTTTAAAACAGCGTAAACACTATTTGATAGACAATGACGAAAGTACAGTGTATTATAACAAAAGCACTTATTTGATCTGACGTGGTTCGATTTTCTAAATATATTTTATATATATTCTTAATCACGCAAAGGAGTTACTAGTAATTCTGTTATCTGTTATGTTATGTTAAAAACGTCCCTTATAGAGCCACAATAGGGCGAGTATTAATTACATACTATTATACTATTATCGAGTTGTGTGCGTCCCGTGACTCGCATACAATCCCGACGAGGGGGAGTTACATAATCTAGGCTCTACCAGAGACCGTCTGCACGCAGTCTACACACGTCAGTGAAACAATATCGAATGAGGCGCTGTTTTCGTTGATGAATATTAAATATAATTAGCATCTCAGCAGTAAGCGATCGGAGGATTTAATATAAATCTTATAGTTCGTTTGTAATTAAACTACTCTCCTCTTAAACGTCCTGAATTGAAATGGATTCGAGAATGGTTTAGATTTACAATTAAATGATTATTTTTATTCATGGCGTATGTTCAGGAGAACCGCTAGTTAAATATAATATACATTATTGCAACAAAGTTTCATAAAATACGATTTTACGGTTACTACGGTTGTCTCGTATTTGTAATCGGTTTAATTTTTCTAAATTAAATATAATACAGCACAGAGTCTGGCTAATGAAAGAACATAATTGAATTATTTGAAAACTTTCGAATTTCTTAGGTTAGTATGATTTATTGTCTTGAAACCTTATGCAATTACTCATTTTTATTTCTATTATACATTTTTTCCGAATAGTTAACAGATATAATAGCCTAAACTTTGTTTTATTGATTTTTGGGATTCTGAATTTGATTATTCCGACTAAAGTTGTGTTTTATAATAAATATAGTTATAGTTTTCGATGCAATGCTAGTCATTTTAAGTTCATACTTGATAATAACAAAAGACTAAATACGTATAATATTTAATTTCATAGAAATACAGTTACTATTAATGTAAAAAAACAATAATATAAAATCAAGTAAGTTTTATGCACAAAATATATCAAACTTTTAGGGATACCATACTAATTTGCCGCGGTTTTCGTTATCTTCTTTCACTAGCCAGACTCTATTTAAAAAAAATCAATGTTTTTTAATTTGTGCTGTATTTATTAAATCTTATCTTTGGTACACTGTGGGCACTCGTCTCTATGGCGAACGGATCGTGACTTTACACGGCCTTTACACAACGTTAGCTCAAGCCCGCGTAAGGACGAGATTCTTTTTCACATTTCCAGCCTCATTTCAATTTATTTAAATTCTTATTTGAACATAGAAATCCGATTACAACACGAACAACTCCTAAACTAAACTGTAGATACATTCAGAAGAATATATTTTAGACTGTCGTGATTTTAACTTGAAAACGTACCCATATTTTGGTTCAGTTCCAGCTTCTGTCATCTTCTGGCTTCGCACGGCAGGTTATTTATTTTATTAAATATGCACTATTTAGATATGTAGTATAAAGGGACCTTTTTTGTAGATATTAATGTCATCTATAAAATTTAACATCACTTTGCTCTATTGCCAATGGTTCCCGCAGTGGACGCGATTTAAAGATTTTTATCGGTATGTTTTCACACCTTGCGTTACAATATCGTAGTTTTTATACGGACCCGTAACTTTTTTGAAAATATTCTATAGCCATGTCCAAATATCCATGTCTATGATGCACTGGATAATGTAGATGCATTATCCAAGTAGGGTTCTAATGGTTAAATCAGTCCAGTAGTTTTGGAGCCCTGGAGAGGAACTTTCAATCCTTTTTTTTTGAAGGTTTTTTATTCTTCCTCTTTCTAATATTACCCTTCGATAGTTTTCGTATGATATTCAAATACAATAATTACACGTCAAATTGATTATCATAATATAGAAAATTATAATTTCGAAGCACACTTTTAGTTCTTGAAAAATCGCTTTAGAAATTGCGTTTATTTTTTTCTTGTGTAAATTAATACAATTATCGAATCGATACAAATGTTTCTAGTTTCCACAATCTCTTAGTTCATATGCATTTTTAATAATTTTGTTGAAATCGCCACTAACATTAGTACCAAAGGTCTAATATAATTAAATTATTATGTGTAATTCCTTATAATCTAGTGTTTGTTACCTGATGCAAATCGTGAGCGAGATCGCGTAGTTCCGTAGCGTGACGCGACGAATCTTCACCGGAGGATGATACGAGCTCTTCGACTTCCCGCGCACTCGCACCAACTTCTTCCTCACGAGCCTGAAGAAAAATAATCCTTTGTAATGCTAGTTAGCTATTCAAATGAAAACACGCAGATATGACTTTTCACTGCGGTTTGAACTACTCATAGTAAAACCCCCTAAGCCAGAGGAATTACTTAATTACCTAAAATATCATGCTTAAGGGCCGGAGAAATTCGAACCTAAGTATCTATGGACTTAACATTTTCGAATGGCATAGTGCTTCTTTCTCAGTCTTTCAACTGGAAAAAATGTTTCTAGTAAAATCAGTATCTGCTTTGATTCCCATCTTACATTATTATCTTATTCTTTAACACCCGGCACAATTTGATGGCAGAATGGCGGCGACTACATTGTCTGTTGATGTCGTATAAGTTTAAAATATAATTGATTTTTCCCGGTTCCGGAAGAATCAGGAGGATCTTATATGGAAAGAAGACGACAGACCCTTATGTACTATTCCGAGCCAAATGCAGCATTTAGAAACGTGCCCGTAGCGCACAAATCGTAATGATCAATGCAACACAATTCAGCGTTATAGGCAGGCAATAATCTGGCAGCACCGAACACAACACATAAACCTTATACAATTGTACCTACACTCAAAAACGCTATAAACTCACCACCAGACTCTGTACCACAAAATTACAATTTACGAAATATTGCTACGAAAAGCGATGCACGCGGCAAGACAGACTAACACTATTCACAATTCAAAATATTTCACCAAATTTAATAACGAAAACGTATCAAACTAATTTGAGTTCAGTTTCTGTGAAAATAAGATCATATTCGCTTAGTTTGATTATAGAGGTGTGATGTTCAGTGAGCAGCTATTAATGCTTTAAAAATACAAGGATGAGACGGAACTTTGAACCGTAATCCGTCGTAATAAGGCAATAATTGGCGTAAGGCGGCAAGGCAGATACGCCCGTTTGAAACGAGACGGATTGCTGCGACGGGGACTCGTATGGGACCAGAAATAACTTCAGTGAGTTTACTACGCGCGGGAGTTACAAACTGTATTTGTTTACTTAGATATTAACGGAATCTCAATGGCTGAGAGACGGTCTTACGAATTTCAAGTGTTTAAACACTATACCTAGACCGTGGTAGCATTGTATAAACAAAATCAAATACCTGGAAATTAATGAGTGATTTAAAAACTGAAAAATATACCTCGAAACGATTTCTAATATTAAAAATATTCTACGTAAATTCCAGCTTCTGAAATCTAATACTATAATTACGACATACACATGCTGTTTAATCAAGCATTTTTATTTAAAAAAGCACTGCCAATATGCATATAATCTCGTGTATTTTAAAATCGTCAGAATGTTTTCCTCCGGGAAATATGGCAATTACAGTATCTACGAGCCAGACACTATAACACTTTACGAAACCGATCTAACTGTACCTTAGAGATCACTAAACAATTCGTGAATGTATATTTTAAAATATATAATTCATGATTAGTGTTATTACTAAAACAACATTTTTGTAATATTTTGTTTGTATGACAATTTGTTAATCTGGCCGTTTTCAAGTCAACATTAACATAAACAATTAATTAATTTTATTATCAAATTTTGTATAAAAAATAAATCTTTACTCTGTAGATAAATCATTTTCCTATAGTTTTAAAACTTTCTTCTTTTCATTTTGTTTTTATAACGGAAAGGTATATTAATGGTACTTTGATATATTCGAACTAACATTAGTGAAATAATAATTAAAATATATTTTTAAAAAAAATTGACACAATGATTTGATATTTCTATGTTTATTTCCTAATGTTTTCCTGTGCTCGGTAAACAATAAAGCGTTGACGAACCGACCACCATATTTTTATAATTTAAAATTCTCATTTTAGTCATAATACAACAAAACTGGCATTCAAAGCACATTAGTAATTTACCGTCCCGCCCCGTCTGGCGGGGGCAGGGCTCTCTTCCGGCGGCGACGACCATTTACATAGCAATTACTATTTCGCAGCTTTACACCTTTACGTACAACCAACGGGGTAATTACAAAGCTGATTAAGTGTGTTTAAGTCTGGGCCTTAAATTTTTGTAACTGTTCAATGATACATTTTTCCTAATATAGCCAAGTAGCCTTCTAATACATAAAAAACCATACCCTAATAAATAAAATGTCAGTGTATAGTACGAGTATGCCAGACAGACTCGGGCGGTATAGTGAGGGTCGTTGAGACGCCCTAACGATAGTGCAACCTGTGACAGCCGCATTCCAAAACGACCTTTGTTTTACATCGAAGATTTATTATTTAGATTGTTATCGCTTAACAAATATCTTGTCTACTGTATGCAAACAATGAAATTATAACGTACCTATACTAATAATTAGCACAATAAAAATTCTCTCGGACGGTAAAGGAAAATATCGGGATAAAATTGGGCATGCCTTAGACCAAAAAATTTACGGCGTGTGTCAGGCACAGGAGGCTACTTGACTATTAAAAAAATTATCATAGAAAAAAAATATATAAGGCCCAGACTTAAATAGATGTAGCGCCACCTGCTTTTACAATTAAATTGTACAATTCATTCCAGTTAACATTGTTATTGGTAATTGTGTAATTAGTACCTGGATTTATATTTTTTTTTTAAATGGCCTTGCACGTACTTAGCTTTATTTATTTATTTCGTAATCCTACAGCTAACAAAAAATGTATATATAAATAAACAATGTCACTAAAAATATAGCCAAATAATTCCATTACATAATATTTACAATAGGTTCAAACATTAACAAAAGGGAAAAAACAACCTACCTACTTGCCTATTAGATTGATAAATTATCATGAAACAGATACAAATATCTGAGGCCCAGAACTTCAAAAGGTTGTAATGACAATGACATATTTTATTTTATTTTATTTTGGAATCATATTAAAGTATAGTAATCTCTGAATAGCACCCTGAGATTCAATACAAATTGGCTTTACGAGTATATGTAAATGAGCCAATGAATATTTTAATAAATTTAATACGTGTAGTGATTTCATAAAAGTTAGTACTGAATTTAATGGTTAAACATGAGCACATGAAACCGTATTAGACGATATTAGAATAACGTCATCAGGCGCCCTCAAAACTCCTTATGATTTTTCGCTATTTAAGTTTTTTATGTCAGAACGGCGTGAAAATATTAAACAAAATATACAGAAACAAATAAAACGGTATTTATATTACCAAAGAAAGAAAAAACTTTTTACCGGATTAAAGTTATGTATTATTATAAATTTACAATTATTTAACATAATTTTAAATTTATCCGACGTTTCGCGTGCTTTACAGCGTGCGTGGTCACGGTGACACGGTGACGGATCAAAGTTATGTCAATCAAAGACAATACTATTACCAAAGAATTGAAATTATCGTGATTCATGTGCACTTTTTCTTTTTCATGTGTCCTTTTTTTATATTTGTCCTGTTCACTGTTTACATGTTTTAATTGCTTTGTATTGTTTCATTAGTTTTGTCTAAATAACTATTGACTATTGTTATTCTATTAACTAACTATATATGTATTAGGTATTTTTGCACTTCTTGCTCTTACCTTATGTAAATTTATTTTCTTACAGTGGTAGCCTAGAAGAGATCGCTCTGAAGCGATAAGGCCGCCAGTTGCCCTCCTTTTTATTTAATTATGTCAATTGTATTATATTTACGTACATGCAACGAAGTGTTAATAAATAAATAATTATTATACACTAAAAACCTTGATCTTTGTTTAATAATGGCTGAAATCGACGATCGCCTTCCTACATATGAGCCCTGCGAGCTGTTGATGTTTTGTCCTAATCACTCTCATGACACATTACTAATAAATAAAGGTGACAAAACATCACTTAAACCTTCATACACTCGCTTATAAGACCGAAACGTTTATTTAACGGACGGCCAATTGCTTCCCGAAGCAAAATACAAGTGACATTGACACGAACGACTCCGGTCAAACAAATATGACCCTTATTACGTGACATTAACATTCAATTTGCAACTCTTCTTGGTTAAAGGGGAAATTTTGCTTATTTCCCCAACACAGGATTCATAGTCTGGCAAAACGCCAAATTTCATGCATATCATGTTCAGTTCTATAACTTGAACCACGTTAGTTTTCAGTTTCTTCAGTGATTTCGTATATTAGTCGAATGTTTGCCATTTTCCGTCATCAAGAAACAATTATTATTCTGATAAATGTTAAGATTATTGCAATCGCATGCGTATGTGTAAATAATCTTGAGTTTTTCATATTTTATATGAAACTAGACCCGGCAAACGTTTTTTTGCAATGCTTGTTATTGCTAGGAAACATTTTTTTAGGTTAAATAAAAATAGCTATCTACTATAATAAAAAATAGGAGTAGATCGTAGAGGGTTGAAACTTAAGGGTTGTATTTATTTTTGTATGCTGTATCATAAAAAATAAAAACAAAAAATTTTGTTTAAAAAATAAAAAATAAAATTTAGTTAATGCAATATTTAGGGGGATGAAAATCGGTCGATCCATTTTGAAAGAGTTTAATTACAAACACAGTGACACGAGAATTTTATATAGTAGATTTATATACGAAAAAATTACGTATAATACCATAAACTGATTGAGCCGAGCTAAGAATCGCTTTACAAAAAAAAAATTAAAAAACTTCATAGCATATCATTGTGATTTATATACATACGACCTATAGGAATAATTAAGTAGTTATAATGAATAAAAAAATTAACCCGCATTTATATGTGCAGATGTTTTCGATTTTTTTTAAATGTATATGCAAAAAATGTACTTATAATACCATAAACTGATTGAGCCGAGTTTAGTAACGCTTTACGAATATATGTTAGAAGTTTTTAGTTCAATTCCATAGCATAGCTATTTTTATTGATAATATACATACGACCTATGAGAATAATAAATAAATGAAATAAATAAAAAAATACTATCCTATGATTTATTGCGCTGATTATATTAATTATGAATTATTATTTCTTTGTGGTTGAATTTCATTGCCCGAAAAGATTTTTTTAAATTAAATATTAAAAAAAATACTAACTTTGACTAGCGTGAGGCGCACCGCAAGACTAGTGCGGTCGGCAGGATTAGCGGCAGTTGTAAGCAGCAAGTCCCTAGAGGCGAGCAGCGCTCGGCGTGCAGCCGGAAGTCGGCGGGCAGCAGCAGCACGAGTGGCAGCAGACGCTGCGCGATCACGCAGCGCCTCTAACTGCTCAAGCACGTCACGGGCAAGCGCGCCGCTGCAGGCGCGAACGACGCTTCGTCCCGCCTCTGCTGTTTCCGCGGCTGATTGCACTACTTCTGCCGCCTAAGAATAATATGACTTACTAACGAAACACAATAAAAATGCTGTATTTAAAGAAAACACTTTTGTAACGGATTGAAGCTATGATTTATTATAAACTTATAATTACCTTACATAATTTTTTTTCTGACGTGAAAAGACAAAAGTCAAAAAGTGTCACAGCTTTTGTCTTCAGTCACCGTTACCACGCACGCTGTAAACCACGCGAAACGTCGGGAAAAATTTAAAATTATGTAAAATAATTATAAGTTTATAATTCATAGCTTCAATCCGTTAAAAAAGTGTTTTCTTTAAATGTGTAAATGTTATGTTAATAAGAGACAATAAATATGCTGCATTTTGAAAAAAAATATTTCACTCCAAAATACGAATATTTCTAACAAAGGTTGAGAGAAGTATTGACACAGCTTATAATAGAAGGTAAGCCGCTTAATATTAGTTTCGTATTAAATTTATACCTTCAGTGTACAAATGCTGTGTGCATCTTGCCCCTCCGAGTTTAAGGATTAAGTAAAGGGAATAGCAGTAATTAATCAGTATTTTTACCTGGTCGTCTAAGCGGCGCAACGCGTCCGAGTCCTGCGGCACTTCATCCAACTCCCGCTCTATAGCATCGAGGCGGTCGCCGGCGGCTTCCAACGCCCCATATAGTTGCGCCCACCGAGCCTGGCATCGCGTCCATAACTCGCGCCGACGATCGTTCGCCTCCCCTAGCGCACCCCACTCGGTTTTCAGCTTTTCCGCCACACGCCGCACCCTCTCTCCGCCACCTCGTCGTGCCGCTCCTTCTGCTTCCTGTGCCGCTGTGCCAGCCTCCGCCACTAACGACTTTACTCTCTCGAGAGCGTCCTCCTGCAGCGGGAACTCGTCGAAGTCCCGCCCGCCAAGCGGAGGTGCGCGCAAGGCCGCCCGCGCCGTTGCCACGAGCGCTCGAGCGCGATTCAAACGAGTGACTGCCTCGCCCCCGTCGCCGTGATCGCCCTTTCTGTCCTTACGACGGGCGGCGTCGAGATCGTCTCTCGCGCTACAAAACGAGGCACCGAGATCTGCAGCGATGCGCTCCGGGAAGGCGACGCGTTGAGCCCGCAGGTCACGCACGAGATCCTGTACGCGCTCATAATCATTTTCGGCATCAGCGAGGTCGTCGAGGCGTGGACGGCGAATCCATGCGCGTAGACGATCGAGAGTGGTGGCTAACTCCCGGCAGTCGTCTTCAGCACGCAAAGCAGCGGCGCGCTTGAGCTCGATCTCGGCGCTGACGAGAGCCCAGCGATCTCGTAGACGGTCGAGTACGTGCGCCCGGACGTGCTCGGCGAGCGCGGGACGTTCACGGGCTTGCTCATATACAAGGCTGTCACCGCGCGATATGAGCGCCACAGCGTCCGGTGCAATTGCCCCCATTTGATTCTTCAAAATCTACAAACAAGACATGACTCATAAACGCGTGTTATAACGCGAGCAAAAAAGGTAATTGGACACAAAATTAGTGGCACAAACTGACCTCGAGCCGCTTGGCTGGATCTCGCTCACTAGAAACGGCACCAAGCGTCAGCAGTAATACGCTTAGTCGCCGCGCCATGCGCTGCGCCGCCACTTCAAACTGTTGCACATCATCTCCTTCCCCATTTTCGTCATCCTCCACACTATTTCTGACTACGCTGTTCTGAAGAGATGTTTCGCTCTTCTCTGACAGCTAAAAATGTTTTACTATTAGAAAGCAGGTTGAGGTTACGGTTTTATTTTTAGGTTATTAGGTGTATGACTGGACGGTGCCCTCTGATAAATTCGATGGCAAATGGAGACCAGAATACCTGCGAGTAGTGTGTGGGGTCTTTGGGGGAGACGGCGACTACGCAGGCGGGTGGTCGATCCTCTTTCAGAGGAGTGGATGTCGCAGTAGGCCGCTGCTCCTCTAGGTCCTCGCCGTTAAAACGCACCTGAAATAGTGTCCCGCTCCTTGTCATCATAACCATAACCTATTTCTACTTTTATACATTTAAAAAATAGAAATGCGAACACGTAAGTTTAATTTCAAGAATTTATATAAAACAACAACTTCCACTTCTTCATAAAATATGCAAGTCTGTGGACGGTAGGCATTACCTGTTGCATGTCCTCTACTTCGGAGTAGATGACATCGTCAGCAGGTCCCTCGTTCGAAAGGCTTGCGGTAGCGGACGGCTCTGGTAAGGCCGCCTGCTCCTTCGGCACTTCGTCCAGGATTAGATATTCATTCACTTCATCTCTCATCAAATTCTTTACCGCCTCCTTTTGCCGCAAAACGAGGTCATATAGCAAAGGACATTCTCGCGCTTCCGACTCGTCCATCGGCGTGGGAGGAGGAGTTTCCATGGAAACGTCGTTGTCGTTGTCGGGAATCAAGTCTGGAACTTCGTTTACGGTAACAGTCTTTTTCTTCTCTTCACTTCCGCTTCTGTGTTTCAAGATGCCTAGTGTAGGCTTCATACGCTCATTTAACTTTGTGACTTCAACGACGAATGTTTTGGGCTCCGACCCTAAGTCAAGCTGAGGTGACCTGGCATCCTCGTCATCGTCGTCGTCTCCTTCAGTATCATCAACAATCTCGACAGTGTCGACTGTCTGCGGAATGAATTCAACCACAGTTTCAACTGTATCCGAAATGTACGCCTCCATTGGCTCAATGGGACTAACGGTAGATTTTACAATTTCGTGTTCTTTTACTTCGACGACTCGGCAGGAGTCTTTTGAGTTTTTCGTTTCGATTGCTGGTTTCGCTTCGATTTTATTCTTAGAAATTTGAGAAAAGAGATCGCTGTCTTTGAGCAGATTAAACGTACTGCTATCTTGTTTGGGGGTGCTAGGAGTAGATGGCAGGGAATTCACTGCATAATTTTCTTCAATAGAGTCGGCTGACATGACGCTAGTGATGCTCGTAGACATAGGGCTGTCGTCTTTCTTACTCTTTCTCTCCATAGAAGATCCACGACTTCTATTTCCGGCTTCTTGAACCTCTTTTTTAATCGGCATTGGACTTTTTAACGCGAGCGGTATTTTAGATCGTTTATATTCGGGGCGTTCAGTGTCGGGCGAATTGACCGGACTCTCTAAGCGTCTCTTAATAGTGTCTGTTATATTTTCGTACTCAACGAGAGCGGCCTCGTTAGATTGTTCAGCCTGCAACAAACTGGCCACTTAGTGCTTCGAGTTAATGTTAGGCCTGGTTATTTACATGTTAGTCGGTCCCGTCGGGTGAAGTAATGGTATTAGCGTGATCCCAAAGCGTCAATCTGTTCGATGAGTTTGAAGGAAGCATGATCTCGATTGAAGTCGATGTGAATGATTTTTATGCCGTGATACAAAAAGCTTTTTTACCACACACCACCAACACCAATTCGATTATTTACAAACATCTATAAACACATCACTCGCAGTCTCATCACAAGGTGATTTTAAAAGGTAACACGTATCGACCATTAATAATTTAGTATGTTACACGGTTAAGGTCACACACTGGATCAAAAATCACACAATATCATAAATACGCGAATCATAGCAGTGCTGTTGTGTATACACAGTGAATGGAACAATCAAAGCGGGTGCGTCAACCGCTAACCAGTCGTCAGATTATACACTACAACCGAAATGAGAAAACAATTCAAACATATTTACACATGGAGTGAAATGAAACGAAATCCCTTAAGAAATTTTCCGCATCTGTAAAGTAAGATGATTACGACCCCACATTACAAATGGTAACTTACCGTTATTTTCTCCATAACTTTCGCCCATTGGTCGCGGAGCGTGTCGTCACCTATCGATTCTACCTCTGCAACCCTGGGCCGCAAGTCGGCTACGACCATCGCCAAGCGCGAGGCGGGTACCCCACTGGCAAGGTCACGCTCGACGTCAGCCAGGCGGCGACGCAACTCTTCGGCGGTGCATGATGCAGCACGAGGCTTGCGCAACTGCAACCAACGCTCGTTGACGTCATCTATCTGAGCACGCAGCGTTACCAGGCGTGCAGGCTCACAAAGCGCGGCGAAATGGCGGAAATTGTCATTGAGCTTGTTCCGCACGGCCTCCATTCGCGACATCTCGAGCTCTAGGGTCTGGGGCCCAACGGCAGGGGCGAGACCGCGCAGCCATGAACCTAAAGCCTGCAGGTCGTTCTGCATCTCTCGCGCCGTGAGCAACGCACCTTCGAGCCGCGACTTAGCCTCGGTCACGTGCGCACCCAACTTGTTGTATAGCTCCTTGAGGCCGTCGATTTTCTTCGAGAAGTCTTGAGGTTCGGCCACTGTTTTCTCCTCGACCATTTTTCGACCCGTCTTAATTACGGTTTCCACTTCAGATTTGATCTCACTGAGAGTCCTATAAAATCTCTGAAATAAAAATGTGAAATCAGCCTCTTCTCTTGGTCTTCACCTTGAAATGAAATACGCAACATTATGTAAAACTCAACTCACTAGCCACTTGGAAAAAACAAGAAATACAACTATGATGGAATAGAAAGTATCAGCGATCATGGCGGCGACAGTACACAAGGCGACCGAATCTGACCCCGCATCACTGGGCTGTGATCCACATAAACGACAATCGTCATGTGGGAATCTCATAGAGTAATTACGTAAATTCTATAAACCATTTGTTTATATAACATCGCACATTTTTGCGATTACATTTAACTAATATATTTACTTAACCAATATAAATATTTGTATTGTATCATTTTCAATAAGTTATTCTAATAAATTGATGCTCTTGATTTTTTTATATATAATTCCAATAGAAATTTAACAACGCGACGCCACTTCTATTTCTCATGAAGTTTCAAAAATTAAAAAAGAAATGTTAAATAAAACACAATATATAATGTCTATAGTAACGTCACATCATATTCCACTCGCGAAGCGATAGATGCAGGGCGTGCAGTGCTCTGTCAGCCGCAACGGGTTCAACTTAACAATTGCTATTGAACTTTAAATCGATTGTGCCATGTACTTCGTTGGACGTGTTCGACGGCTATTTATTAACTGACGTCAGCCGACATACTAACCACTGGCGTGTGCGTAAGCCGCTTACGGAACCAAATCCCACATCGATACTACTTTATTCAATTAATAAGAAATGTATATCACTACAGGAGTATCCTTTCTATATAACCTAATTCTTATTTCAATGTAATCTCAATTTTTCCAAGTAATTGAAGTTGCATAACCAAATTAATGAAGTAGAACATAAGTTTAAACTATAATATTTTCAAATAATAGTGCATATCTCATAAATCTCCATCAGAACAGTAAATGTTTTTATCGGAGCCTAAACTTACGACATAGAAACTAAAATAGCTAACGGTAAACTAAACCCCGTACAGGAATTAAATCGATTCCAATAATATAAAATTTTAAAGTTCAACTGCAAGGGCAACTGTCAAAGGTATCAGAACTCTTTAACAATGATTACACTATCTATTAATCAATAAACTTGTGTAATGTAGTATAAACATGTATCACAAGACGAAATCCGGATCGAAGGACTAAAATTTACGGTTCCTAAAATATGTTTTAAATTATATATTTTAACCACTCACGCACAACGGGTTCGTGCTAAAAAAGGCAGTTGTAAAATTAAATCAAACAGCAAAAGGCTTAGTTCTAACCAGGCAGGTCCTAAGCTGGGCTCGCACGGCATCAGGGTCTGCGCTAGCCAACGTTAGCTGTGTGACATCTCTTTGCACGTCACGCAGCCGGGCTACTGCTGCCTCTAACCGAGACTCTATCTCCCCGTCTCCACTAATCATGTCTGAACCAGCAGTCTTCAGCTCTTCTTCGACTTCATCCAACTTACTCTGTTTAAAATTAATTTATTATTTTCGGCCTCCGTGTTTGCAGTAAGTATGAAATGCGTACAAATATTGGATAGGACTTAGGAATTTAAACAAATTTTTATGAGGCTAATAGATTTTTGTGACAGTTTCGCTACATTTTTTTTTAAACTATCGCATTGATTTTATAAATATAATGCACACGTTTAAATCGGGTAAAACCCTTCTTAGTGTTAATAAAAAGCAAAACTAATCAGTTACAACTGGATAATTACTACATAACAGTACCTGAGCAAGCTGCAGCTGGTCACGAAGGCGGTCTGCTGCCTCGATATTACCAACAGCGCGGTAGGCTCGTTCATGATCTCTAACAGCGGCTAACGCAGCACGCTGGGCAGGTAGATCTGCAGCACTTCGTCCAGGGTCACGCAACCATTGCTGCAGAGCATCCAACGCTAGTTGACTTCGCGCTGCCTCCCCTGCTGCCGCCTCCAACTCTTTAGTTCGCTCTTCTGCTGCGCGCTGCAATGTCGTCCATCGTGCTGTTATAGTGTCCAATTCGTGCTGGATCCAGCCCGGCATGATGTGCGCCTCGATCAATTGTCGCCCGATAGCTTCTATGCGTTCCACGCGTTCTGTACTTCGGTTCGCCATGTAATTCTCCAATTCCTATAGAAACGGCGGGTTAAGTGATAGTTGAATAGGTGCTACGAAAGATTTTTGACTTCTTTTGGCGCGTTAGGGAAAAATTATGAGAATAAATTTTTACGATGCGCGCGCATATCGTCACAAAAAAGGGACACCCTGAAGTTAGCTATAGTCAACATTTTAGTTTTTCTATTGTTAGTGACGATTTTTCTAGAAATTTTGTAGTAGAAAAGTCGTAGAATAAAACTTTTGAAAAGAATTAGTATAACTTCTAATGCGTGTAAACACACGTTTTTTTATAGAAAAGGTTGAGGTAAATGAAAATATTGGGAAGGAACTTACATAGAGCTCGTCGGAGATTTCCTCTGCATCAGCCCGAGCTGGGGAAGTACGTAACCTACGTTGTAGGCCGTCGAGCCAAGCTGTCTGCTGCGCCAGCCAGGCACGGAGCTCACCAGACTCATGCCAAGCTTCCGCTAATACTCTGACAAAATAAAGTTATTTTATTTCAACACAAACACATAAATTATTACCAAATTGTTTTATTCAACGGTGGTGACGTTATTTTTAATTGGTAACTTAAAATAATAATGAATTAAATTAAAAATACTTTCATAAAAAGGTCAGGACGATGTGTCATAAATCCGACTAAAATATCAGAAATTAAGAATAATAGTATTTGTTTCTTTAGTTATAGGAGCCCACCAGTTTATATAAACTAAGTACCGAGTTGTTACTAATAAAAAATTAAAAGTATAATTACTCTTAATTTTATAATTTATATAATGATAAATATAATTTAAATAGCAGACGAGGTAACAAAAATCTGAACCGCAAAATCAAACAGCAAACACTAAACATAACAAAAGATGTACTTACTTGTATCGTTCGTAGATGGCATGCGTGCCGCGCGTCCATAGCGCGTTTAGGTGCGTAAGGCGACGAGCGAGTGCGCTCCCTCCACCTGCCAACAGTAGGTCATTCCCGGCCTCGTTAAGGTCACGAAATTCGTCGGTGCGATCGTCACATTTATCCTTAAGCGCCTGGAAACGCGCCTTCATCTGGTACAGCTCCCCAGAGTCACGGATGGTGCACTCATCTTCAGCGGGAATCTCTTCTTCCAGCTGCTGAATCCACCGTTCCATGTCGTCAATTCGCCGAAAGGCGTTCTCGGTCCTCTCTAGGCCGCGACGCAAGGCCTCGTTGTAATGGAAGGACTTTGAAGTCACTTCATGGAATTGGGTCACCAAGAGCTTCACGTCGGCCGTGATTGATTTTGCAAACGCGTCGTCACAGTCTTCTAGTATCGTGTTCTTCGCGGTCTCGATGCTGTCCAATTTTGTCTTATAGTTTGATTTCTCTTCGTCGAAATTCTGAAAAATATTTATTATAACTATAGAGCTAGCTGATAAGTTGTTGGTCTAATGCAATTTTTGTGTCAAGTATTACGCAACTTTTGGAGATTATTGACCCCCCCATGTAACGCGCCGTAACGTTTTTCTGTACCCAAGTAGTTAAACGTTTCGTGACCACCTAGTGACTCCTTATACCTAAAAGTTACCTATATATTATATTATATAAAATAATATTAATAATAACGCGTAATTCAATCCCCGCCCCGCATCGTAATGTTTTACAAAAGGACCTCCCCCCCAAATTCGTTACGTAATACTTGAACGCTCCCTAAGTGTAAAATTCTATTTGTTTTAATTTAATGCTTTTAGCTATTACTATGTATATGTGTTAAAATTAAAGTACATTGCTCTTGATGAGCAGGGCTTCGAGAGCGGCGGTGTCGCCTAGAGGCGGCGTCGGGGCTTCATCCACAAATGTCTGGACACGCTGAACCCACGATGACACCTCACTCAAATCTGCTTGTAGACCGGCCACCAGTTCTATACCTGAAAGCGACCCACATGATAATTAAGGTTCTGCAAAAGCAGTTAATTAGGTATTTCGGCTAAATATGGTTTACCTTTTTCTAATTTTTGTATTTTTTGAGCCAAAATTGTCTTGGAGTCGGTGAACCTCGTGACCAAATTCTCGAGGCTGCTTCTCAGGTTCAGCTCCTCCACGCTACCCCGCTCGTAGAGTTTTTTCTCTTTGACCACTTTGTCATAGGATGACTGGATGTCCTCGAACTCCCTCTCCAACCGTCTCAAACCCCCCCAATTTCTTCTCCATCTCCTCTTTGGTCGAAATGATGGCGTGTTCGGCTATAATTTGGCTCTCCATATCTCGTATTTTTCTTTGAACCGTTTTATGCTCGTCTTCGTCGTTATCGAGAGTCCTCTTGTTGAGCGCCAGCTTCACCTCGACCTCTCGCCGGCCGAGGAAGGTCAACATTTCGTGGAACTCGTCGTTTATTCGTTTCGTGTCGGCTTCGATGTCGTCTTTGTGGTCCTGCGGGATGGGCTTCGTCAGGAGGATGATGGAGTGCGCGTTGAGCTCCTCGAGTCTGGGCTGCAGCTGACGCAATAGCCTCGCGCGATTACGCGTGTGCACGAGTAGCGTGCCACAGGGCGATTCGGATGCGGCGCGATCTCGCCAAGCTCGCACTTCGGAAATCGACGTCCGAATGCCGCGGGCCGAATCCCGCCACGCCTCTTCGTCCTCGCGCAAGTTCACCGCGTTGCGAACCTCCGTCAGAGAGCGCCGTATACCTTCCCATCGCCGGCGCAACGACTCGATGCTTTCCGCGTGCTTCTGCGCCTCCTCTGAGAAAATATACAACATTAGAATACAAGGTCCTACGTCTGGTGTAATATAGAGGCAGTCAAATACCTTTAAACGAAGCGTCGGCGGCGAGACGCGCGTGTATCTCTTCGACACTGGCGAGGTCGTTGCGGCGCTCTTCGCTCTCGTGTTGAACTCGCTGCAGCTCATTTCGTGTTTCGCTTCGCCATTCGTCCGCGGATGCCGTCCACACACGTTCCAAGCACTCTCGCAGCGCCCTTTCGGCTTCTTCAGCCCACGTCTCAAAGGCGCGATAGCCGACCTGGAAGTCTCCGGCCCGCTCGAGTCGTGGCTTCTTCTGGGTGCCACCGAACTCGGTCGGGTCTTTGGGAGACTCTTCCGCACTCGCATCGAGTTCGAAACCCAGCTCCTTTATGCGGTCGACCTGCACCTGAAGAATCATGTCGAGTGCGTCGAGTCGATCGTACAGCTCTTCGGCATCTTCAATTGCGTCACTGGCTAACGCCGCACGTGTGTCGGTCAATGAACGCCTGCAGCGCTGTAATTCAGCAACGCGAGCGAGTACCTCGCCCACTTCGCTGACGGGACAGGCTTCCATGCGCTTGAGATCCCGCTCGAGGCCTTCGGCGGCCGTTCGTAAGTCGGCGGCTCGTTGGTCGGCAGCGTGCTGGTCTTGCGCACGGCGAAGTCGGTCCAACGTCCACTGGCAGGCGTGAGACCAGCGCTCACCGAGCGCGCGGAGCTGGTCCTCGATTTCTGTTACATCTGTGTACAGATTATCTTAATATATAAAAATTACGCGTCACGTTGTTTGTCCGCTATGGACTCCTAAACTAATTAACCGATTTCAATAAAATTTGCACACCGTGTGCAGTTTGATCTCACCTTAAAGATAGGTTAGCTTACATATATATATATATATATAATTCTTCTGTACGTGTGTATGTGAACTTATCGCTCTTATTTTTTATGTGGTGAAAATGCGCATACGCAGGCTCGCGCTATAGATGTTGAGCTTGACGCTGGGACTGTAGCGCTTGGTCTACACCCAAAGGCCTCTGCCATTCAGAGTGGTAGACCACACCCACTAAAAACACCTCAGCCCTTCACACGTCCTTAAGAAAGCCCAAACTACGCCCTAACACGTCTAAATATAAGGGATTCTATACCAAGTTGTATAAAAAAAAAGCCACCGGTAGGAAAGACTTGCCAGGGACTGGAAACAGCTGGAGAAGGCCTTTGAGCCACAAAGGCAAGCTGTACAAGAGGGCAGCTGTGCAACAAAACCTTCTTAAAGAACTTTTTTTATATACATAATATATATTTTTGTAAACTTTCTCTTCTATTAGTTGAAATAAATGCTTTGAAATTGAAATTGAATACCAAGTTGTTATCAGTTATTTTTTAAAAGTATTTATTAACTTTGAAATGCAAGACTAACCATCGTGATCGTGCTCGTCGTCGACCACAACGACGCAGTCGGCCAGCGCATCGACGAGCGGTTGCTGCGTGCGCAGGTCCGCGTGCAGCGCTCGCGCTTCTGCCAGTCCCGCACCTTCAGCCTCCATTCGGGACATGCGGTCCTCGGTAGCTGTGAGCCAGCGTCGAAATGCGTCGAGATGGCGCTGCTGGGCAGCCATGAGGTCGGCGTGGACAGAGCTCTGGCGGCGCATAGCCGCCACTCGCAGCTGCTCCCAGCGCTCGTTTAGCAGTCGCATCTGCAGTCGTACTTCGCCGGCCTCTTCGCGGCTTAGCGCACCGTCGCGAAGCAGACGCGCGCCTTCCTCTAGCACCGCACCTACGCGGCACTGCTGGCCGGACAACTCGAGCAGGAACTTCTGCACACGGGTTAACATTGACTACTTAATAAAGTGCTTGGGTAATATAATATGTAAATGAACTAAACTAATACATACAACCTCTTTTTCATTTACCTTTTATTGAGCTTTTTTTATTTTTTTTTATTTAGACCACAAAATATGAAAAGCGGTAACGTCCCTACAACATGCGGACACGACCAACGAAATCAAGTAGGTACAAAAAACATATTTCTGTCTCAATAATCAGATTTTATATTGAATTTCACATACCTTTAATTGAATCTACTCTGCTATTCCTTGTGAAAGCAAGAAACATTCAAAAAGATAAGAACACGGCATAAACGTAAAGAATAACAATAATCACCTCGTGCGTATGAAAGCGTTCCTTGAGCAGTGCGAGATGCTCGCCCGGCGCGGCGGGCGGCGATGGAGAGGGTTGAGAATGCGCCGCTAACCGCTCTTCACCCGCCAACAACGCCGCTAGCGCTTCTTCCAACGCTGCTCCATACGCTCCGAGTTCCACAGAACACGTCGTGGCACTCGACACGGGACGAGACGCGGTCGCCTCGCACACTTCCGTCTCCTCAGACTCACCGTGAGGTAGCGATTGGAAGAGGCACATCACGTACATCATTATTGACTTCTTGTCCGGATTGGGCGTGTTAACGTCTGGAAATTGTCAGTTCCATTGTTAAAAGTTTATTATTAGTTCAGTTTAAATATACTTAAAGCCTAAAAGTATAATATAACAAGCTGTATATCGATTTAATACATTGTAAATCACATCAGATCAAAAATTTATTTGTTCTTATTAAAAACAATTGAAGATCATAAATTACAAACACCACCAGTTCTCTAATCAATAGCGTAGAGCAGGCGAGGAGAACTGGCAAGAAACCCTTTGGCTCTCTTTTTAATCTTAAATAAAGTACCCTCACTGTTCAGAGAAGTTTCGGAGAATTTTCTAACCATTGTTTTTTGTATTCTAAGTGCTAGGTGGTGACTGGTCGTACTTGAATTCGTATATGCGGTGATGTTAATTATTTCGACTATGTGTTTGCGTGTTGTTCCCACGAGAATGTAAGTGCGTGCTCCTATTTCACCATGCCTCCTGCTGATAGGGGACAAGTCTTTGTTTTTAATTTATGTTATTATTATTAATTACTTAAGATGTCATGTGGAACATGGTGTAATGGTTGCAGCTCCTTACAAACGTTGTGTAAAAAAAAACATGGCGATTAAAAAGAGTGGCGGAGAGTTTATTGCCAGTTCTTCTCTTCCGTTCTACGCCCTTGATTTGAGAACTGGCAGTAAATGTAAAATTAGAAGCATTAATATGTATTTCTTTAATGACGAATCACAAGTGTACATTGTGTTACCTACGTGAATAAATGAATTTTGAATTTGAATTTGAATTTTGAATAACAAAATATACCTTCGGGGTCGAGCAAACGATCGATGCCGAGATGGTCGTGCGCAAGAGTAAATGCGTGTTCGAGTCGTTCGCGGGGCGCACGATCTCGCAACGCTGCATAATCGAAGAGATGTGGTCGGAAACGGTGCAGCAGCGCATTAAATGCGAGCCCATCAGCCCAACTGCTCGTAAAGTCTGTGACGTCGACTCCATCATAGCCTGCTGTGTGTGCTCGGCACCAGGCCAGTAGAGTACGTTCGAGGGTCGAATGTGGCGCGTCCGAGGTCAACGGCCGGCCCTGCCAGTGCAGTATAATGCTCCACACGAGCCCTAGTACTAATTTGGGGTTGCCATCGACGATATCCCCGCTGCTAATGTTGACGAGACGAACACCAGCCGTCGCCAACGCCCGCAGAGCACAGTTTACATTGTTCAGTCTGTGCACGCGCATATGCCCTCGCTCTCGCTTCTGCAATGAATATATGAGTATAAGAATACTGTAAAATGTATTGCACAACAAAAGATCGACAAAATACCAAACATAACACGACATAAACAGGCATTATTATTATATTAGTTTGTTTTTTACTTTAAATGTTTAAGTTATTTTCTCTTCATCATTGTAATGTTTCCCTTTAAATGTTGTGCACACTTGTTATTGATGCACATGCATGTATCTTGTTTTCTATGTCATGTGTTCTCTGTTTAAGTGTTTCGTTAGTGTGCCTTTTAAAATAAAATATTAGTATATACAGATTAAGTCAAGGCAAAGTAAGAGAAACAACATACTTTATTGCTTACATCTATAATTTATGGTCCTGTTCCTGTAGAATAAATGTTTCGTTTGTAGGCTACGAAATTAAATTAGCAATAGCAAAAAAATCAACAAAATAATCAACACTTTGTTTATCGTCGTCACAATCATTGGGGCTTCTAATAATATATTTACTCATGAAAATATAAAATTACACAAATATTTTCTTTCAGGACAAAAAAATGCTCGTGTGTGACCAACGGAAATACAACTTAAAATTATAATATTTTACATGGGCAAGAACATACAAATTGTTGTCCCGTCAGTATCTCGAGCAAGGAGAGTAGTGCCTCGCCGTCTCGCAGGTCCTCGCACAAGTCGTGTATCGGCGACTTTCCGTGCTGAAAATCATACATAAACCAATTAAGTGGTAAACTAATTGTTATACAAATCATTTGTATGACAGAACAACAAAAAAAAATTTTTTTCGACATTGTGAAAAAATTAACAGTTTAAAAATAATATCGTAATGACCGCAATACTACCAAGAATCTATAACTTTAGAGTTGATAGTTGAACCATTTTCAAATAATTCGTTATTTGTATTTATTTTTATTTTAATATTGTTACAGACTTCTGAATGAAATGTGAAACGGATTGATCTATACTTTTTATGAAAAGAATGTGATTATTTTATTTTTCATATTTTTTTTTATTTATTTTTTTTATCACCGATAAGCCACATGTATAAGATGAAATCACTAGCAATAATTCGAATTTAGAACGTTATTAAAACATCCTCTCGTGCAATTATAAACATTCAGTCAATTCTAGGCAATAATGAACACTAGTGAGTGGTGGGATATTTCATTCATCAACTGGAGGTCATCGGCCTGTCACACACCAATGTTCATACATCAACATCGACCTTAGCGCGGCTTTGCGGCTTCGTACAAGTGATCTGTCAACTTCTAATCAATCAGCGGGAATGAGTATCGCATAACGATTTTATTATTCTTTACTTATAATTGATGCCTCAACCCTCAACGAATCCCCAAGCGAAGCAATCTCACTTAGCTAATTAACTTGTACGAAACGTTCACATTATTTTCAATTCGTATTTCTTGACGTGATTTGCTTTCTATTGTTGCAAATTAAAGACAGAGTGAAAATCAGTGTAATAGGAAGCTTAACAAAAATAACAGAGGTGGTATCACACTCAAAAACAAAGTGGAAATGGGCCAGTCATATTGTCCGCTTTTGTGATGGCAGATGGGTCAAGGTGGTCCTTATTTAGTACTGTTGTCATTATCCTTATTAGATATGGCCCAGTAGGCAGAAAAAGAGCAGAAACCTGGGGAAATGAAATAAAAGAATAGTATCTAAGGAGTAGAAGAATTTGGAGGAGGTTTTCACTCCTTCGGAGGCTTGAATATGATAACATAAATTTATATTACTCAAAAAAAGGCTGCTTTTATTTTAGTTTGTTTCGTATTATCAAAAAATCATGCAAAGAATAATTAATTAATACAATATAGTATAGCGTATATTGTAGCAATATCCATACCTTCGCAAGTTGTGAGTTGATCCATTTCGCGAATGTTTTCTTTTGCACATCTTCTCTTTCATCTGAAACAATTACAATGAATACATAACTTGCAGTATGTGGAATGAGACCAGAGAGTACTTTTTATTATGTAATCAGAAATAACAAGTATTACTTCTATATTAATAGAAAAGTTGACTACGTCTGCAATCAACCGCATTATAGACAACCCCACATCACATACAATTTTTGACAACTGCGGCGGACACGATCGCCTCACACGCCTTCAAGAGGGTCAGCATGGCATATCGCACACATTTAAGGCTTTTATTTAAATATAATTGCACCGTGTAAAATACTCAGAAACACCACCGATAGGTACACTTTATAAGCGGTACGATCCCAGCACTCAAGTAACGTCCGCACGCCACGGCGGTAGGCAGTCGACTGACCCCCACTAGTGTGCTTCGGTATACTACATCCCTTCCTTATTAAAATTAATAAAAACTTATCAAATGATTCGAAGATTAACTTTAATTTTGTTTCTTTTACATTTTAGGATGATAAGTCATTAATCTTCATTTTTTTACCATTTACCCCGTCGTCTGCGTGGTGGTTAATGACCCACTTGCCACTCACCATTTTCAACCCTCTTAAGGTGGACAACATTTATGCGGTATTCTTTCCCCGTTGAATCATTTCTTACCCTAATGTCTCCACCGTTGCATCTGTTACCGTGTGAGACTCTGGACCACAATTAGGAGCCAATTTATTTTCTCTCATCATATTATTTTGACGTCTAGATTTTCCCCAATTCCCAAATAACTATCCGCCGCTTTTCTCTTCCTATCAGCATAACTTTATCCCTTCCTTCCTTTTTCTTTATTCTCCCTATCTCTGTCTATAAAATCTGAATATATGACTTTATGTTCCATGTCTGAATTTTATCTCGAAACTGTCTACGAAAGAAGAGTTCAGCCGGGGTTTTTCCTGTTACTGTATGAGGGGTGCTGTTGTACATTACAAGGTTTTCTAGAAAGTCCTCTTTCCAATCCTTTTCACCTAACTTTTTTAATTAACCTGTGGCCAATAGGGTATTGTATTGTAAATTACAATCGCGCACTCCTTACAAAACGCTTTGAAATTGTCACTTGTAAATTGATTGCCACTATCGGAAGTTAGGGTTGCAGGATATCCCAATCGAGAAAATAATTCCTTGAGATTTATAATGGTTTCTGTGGCAGTAATGTTCTTAATAATTTTAATCTCCTTATACCTACTGTAGTAGTCTATTAGTATAAGTAGGTAATCGTTTGATGGTAATGGTCCCAAAAAGTATACCGCAACATCAAGACAAGGCTCACTTGGAAGGTCTCGTCTTTTAGTTGGATGAGGTTTAGGTGATGAAACCAGCGTCCGACCTTTACAGGTTTTAACACGACTTTCAGCATCCCTATCAATTTTAGGCCAACAAACCTTTGTTCTTAGACGACCTTTCATGGCAACAAAGCCAGGATGTCCTTGGTGAGCAGCCTCAAGAACTCGATCACGACGTTGTTTAGGAATAATAAGTTTACTCCCTCTGAGGGCTTTCTTACCTTGTAGCACTCATTCCACTTATCTTCAAAACACCAGTTCTTAATGCTATTATTTCCCTGTCTGTTGCACTGGCTGTTTAAATTTCAACAAGTGGAACTGCTATCGGTCTGCTGTATTCTACAATTGCATTTATGTAGTTTTCATTGTCGGATGAAATAGGGTATGCGATGTTCTCTCTCGCTGACCGGTAGACTACTTTATACTTGTAAGTCTGCAGCCGCAGAACCCATCGTTTAATGCGTGCACAAGGCTTGGATCTGTTACCGTAGATAGTTTCCAAAGGCTTGTGGTCACTTATGAGCTCAACTTCTTTGCCCAGTAGATAAATCTTAAAATGTTCTACTGCCCATACCAGAGCCAGGGCTTCTTTCTCCGTTTGACAGTATCTCTTCTCGCAATCAGTAATACTTTTATTGCCGAACCCAATTATCCGAGGTCCGTGACGATCAATTTGTACGAGCACCGCACCAAGACCAACTGGAAACGCATCTGCTATTATTTGCGTTCTATCCACCGGGTTGTAGTAGCCAAGTGTTTTTAAGTTTGACAGTCGTATCTTGAGGGTCTCAAATGAAGAGTCTTCGAATGAACGTCTGTCCGGTATTTTTAAAGTTAGTAGATCTGCTCAATCTAAGTCTTATTATTTGCCGAAGGGGTAATGTAAGTGTTTCTGAATTGGGTATCCATTTCCCGACGTAGTTTACGAGACCAAGAAAACTCTGTATCTCTTCAATGTTGAAGGGCTTTTTTGAAGCCTGGATTACTTGGATGTATTTGTCCAATGGCTTTATTCCTTATTCAGTTAGTAGATGTCCCAGAAATTCAATTTTGTGTGTCGTATTGCAATTTTGTTTGTCGCATCTTGCATTTGTCGTGGTTAAGAAGAACATTAATTATCTTTCAGTATTTGTAACACATTTTCAAGCCGTTTATCGTATTGCAACTCATCAGATCCATGTACTATAATGTCGTCGGTACGATTGGCTGTCCCTTCGCAACCGTACAACAATTTCTCCACCCATTTTACAATTGATAGTTGTGTCATTATCTATATGGGATACATAAATCCACTTCATCGGTAACTTAGTGTGTTCCTGTATTTGTTTTCAGTGTCTTTGTTCCATTGTATTCGTCATTTCGTGTATGTATTTTCCGTTTTTGTACCTTGGTCTTACAATAATCCCTAAAATGACCAACGACTCCACATTTTAAATATTATATTATATATTATATTTTTTTATCTCTGTCTGGCCAATTATTATCAAATGATAAATGTTTGCTGTTGCCGCAACGAAAACATGTTTTCGCTGAGTTTCGAACCGCACGTAATTTCTACCCGGTTAATTTCTGAATTTTCGTATCAAAAGTTTTACTTGATCCTTGCTTATCAAACAAATCAAACTGTTTGTTAACCGTCTTAAGCGTAATAGCAATTGTAATTACTTGTTGAAGTGTTATCGAATTTCCACCTGCCAGGATTTTCTTCCTTAATTCTGAGCTTTGGGCCTTTTCTACGATTTGGTCTATTAAGTGTTCATCTTTAGCTGTGAACTGGCATTTAGGTACCAGCTTGAGTTCGCAACCGTAAAAGGAAAGCTTCAAACCTCTCCCCTTCCTCTTGTTTTATTAGTCTAATAATATCGCTCGTAGTATCTGCTTTGTTTTGTTGAAAAAATATTCATTTAATTTTTTGTATAGCAATTTCATAAACGTCAGCGCCATCGATCTCATCGACATGAGCTCCAGGCAAGTTGTAATACACCTCTTGCAATGCAAGCCCATCAACGTGTAATAAATAAGCTCGCTTTTTAATGCTTGTATCAATATTAGCGACCAAAAATTATATGTCTAGTGCTCTTCTCCATTTTTCCCAACGGATTCCTACTGAGACTTGGTTGCCTTCGCACTCAAAATGATCAAGGCCTGGAAACACTGATGTTATCTGAGCCATATCGGAGTGATAAATAGTAGTAACATATGGTGCCAAAATGCGGAGGGTTGATTGGTTGCGCAGGTACCAGGGCAGGCGATAAAAACGCGGCGCGGCAAAAAGTTTACCCTTTTCTGCGCGCAGCCATCGAAACGTACGAACGTGTTCTTCACAGAACACTTCGATATCGTCTTACGATAACGCTAATAAACTGTTCTTTTCAGAACAATATCTTACGAAAACGTTTAACAACTGTCCTTTTCAGGACATATTACCGTCTTACGACAACGATGAAACTGTTCTTTTCAGAACACACGACCGTATCTATTCTGATCTGTTCTTGTCAGAACACATCACTGTATCATTACGACACGTTAACTAATCACCTACAGGTTTATACCCGTATAAATATATCTTCTTTATTTACGAAACATTCATCACGCATACTTTGCACAATAATCTGATCTCAATATCAATGATTATTGTCACTAAACCAAATATGGTCTAATCTAATAAACCTTACTAATAAAAGTAGTCTATCAAATTGACTTTAAAGCATGTACTCAGAATTAGTCTATCTTATTGACTTTAAGAACGTTTTTGCCTGTCATATTGACCTTAACAACATTATCTTAGTCTATCTTATTGACTTTAAGAACGTTTTGGCCTATCATATTGACCTTAACACCATTCTCTTAGTCTATCTTATTGACTTTAAGAACGTTTTGGCCTATCATATTGACCTTAACACCATTCTCTTAGTCTATCTTATTGACTTTAAGAACGTTTTGGCCTATCATATTGACCTTAACACCATTCTCTTAGTCTATCTTATTGACTTTAAGAACGTTTTGGCCTATCATATTGACCTTAACACCATTCTCTTAGTCTATCTTATTGACTTTAAGAACGTTTTGGCCTATCATATTGACCTTAACACCATTCTCTTAGTCTATCTTATTGACTTTAAGAACGTTTTGGCCTATCATATTGACCTTACAAAACCACTATCTTTCATATTGATCATGGCTTCTAATGGTAAAGACCTATCTTATTGGCCGTGATAGAAAACATGGGTCTCTCAAATTGACCTCTCAAAACATCGATCTTTCATATTGATCTAACTATTGCTATCTACTAATCGTCAAGACCTATCATATTGGCCGTGATAGCAAAACATTGGTCTCTCAAACTGACCAACCAACCATTGTAACTGTAACTAGAACGTGTATGAGAATACAAAATCAGGCCCAAATATGTACCTAACATATTTGGTATTTTATGACACTCAGTCAACACCTTCTTGTAGCAGCGCTTGTTTGTTTTATTTCCTTTTATAATATAATAAAAGCGATTATCAAATTGTGAACAATATAATTATGAACAATATAATAAAAACAACAAGCGCAGCACACAGGTGCAAACTCGTGACTCATTGTTACTAACGCGCATTATTTCGTTTGGCAGGTTGGCCGGTACTTATTTTATGAAACCTTTTCGTTTGTTGACAATATAAAAGACTGATAAAACAGTCACGGTCCAACATTATATAAAAACAAACTTACATTTCTCTTTCACACGCGTTCCTTCCTTACATACCATGTTTCCTTATGTCTTTCAAAACTCACATTCTCCGTCGTCGCCACTTGTAAAATACTCAGAAACACCACCGATAGGTACACTTTATAAGCGGTACGATCCCAGCACTCAAGTAACGTCCGCACGCCACGGCGGTAGGCAGTCGACTGACCCCCACTAGTGTGCTTCGGTATA